TCTCTATCTCTATCTCTATCTCTATCTCTATCTCTATCTCTATCTCTCTCTCTATTTATCTATCTATCTGTCTATCTATCTATCTATCTATTGGTGGGGACCCTGCCCATTCAGTCATTCGCCATTATGAGGGTCATGTTGTTCCAATGACACGGACCGGGGGGTTCAGAAACACACATTGCAACTCTGAAACGGCTTAGATAAGCATCCCTGGCAGCTGGTCTTTCTCGAGCTCTCAAACTTGAGAAGCTTCCGGACGCCGATGAGAGCCACGGAGTCCACTTCTTCTCATTATATCGGGGCCTGCCGAACTTGTACCGCTTGCTTGGGGCGGTCAGGTCGGGGAAGCAGCATGCTTGTTGAAGAGTAGCAGTGCAGCCCAACCGTTTTTGCACCGTATTGCCAAGAAGTGAGCGATCGAAGTGAAGCGCCCATGACCCTTGGCAGGCCCTTTTTTGCCGAGCTCGGCCTGTGTCGAGTCTTTTGCCGTGATGTCATCGGTGCCAAAGGCACCGAGGAAACGACAGCGGTACAGCAAACGCTGAGAATCCACGAAGCCAAAGAAGTGATGGAGAGGGGACACCACCTGCCAAGCCAGGGCCCAAGCCAGGTCCAGTCTGACCCAGCAAAACCTGGTCCTGTCAGGTGGCAGTTTCTTTCTGAATAAGAATCGAAGTACATCAAAGCACCCTCAAACACTGGTTGTTTAGAGGTTCCTGTTGAGGGTTGGACCGGCACACCGGTCCCGACCAAACATGGCTTGCGAGTGAGTTCGACCACCCCCGACTTGTTTGGATGCTTTGTTTGGATGCTTTGTTCGGCAACGGGTCGAACTGATCTGAACTTAAGGTCAAACATCATAGATTTAGATGGATACCTAGCGCTTCCTGTCTGGGTGTCCAATGGAGACCTATATGTAGTGTGGGGTTGTCCAGCCAGGTGATCCATTGGAAGCAGCTGGTAGACAATTATTTGATAGTTGGACCAACTGTTTGACAACACTCCATCAGTTCTCGCCCCAGCTGTGCACATGTATGGTAGAGTTTCGCACACCGGAGACGCCATAAGGCTTGTTGCACACGCGCGCCAACAACATTTTTGCTTTTAAACATGTTCTCGGCGCGTCTGCATGCGATGACTTGAGCGGCTTTTTCGCGTCGCACATGTTTGGATCACACATCGCCCAACAACTCCGCTCCATCGAGCTCCAAAGTGAGCATTCCGCACCCCCCCGGTGGACCGGACTTGGGGAGCTCGAGCTCTGAGGCCATGAAGTGCAAGAGGTGGTCGTGGGGATGCTGGAGCAGGTGGAGACCAGACTCGGGAGTTGGTGGTTCTCGGGGTTCACCCTGGAGGGCCCCCTGTGGAGGCAGAGTCTTTGCAAAGAGTGGTGAACATGAGTTGTATTGAGTTGTATATTATTGAAGATGGTCTAATATAGCAGGCAGCCCTCCACCCCCACATTTGCGAAGATGTAACAACAGCAACCTGTTCAATCAGAGCTCAGGTTCACATATGCATAGGTTCACAGGCTTTTTGACGTAGTGTGTGCTGGTGCAACTTCGGCAACTTGTTCCGATTTATTTCGGGAATCAATGGTCCTGCCACATTTCTTTTGAGATTCTGAGACATCTTGGAGCCATGAGGGCGGAGGCTTTTCACGCAGCCCATGGCACGACCCACGCCGCACGAGCCGCCTCCGCCGGGCTCAAGCGCATTCGTGGGTGTTTTTTTACAGATTCGACCCGCAAAGGAGCAGGACACGGATGAGTTTGAGATGGCATTTCTTATATTTCTTGGCCGTTCCGCTGGTCGTCGGGCAGGAGGTAAATATATCTTTGTAGCGAGCCTTTCAGGCTTGAGCACGGAGGCGGCACCACAAAGACTGGCTGAAATTCTGGAAGGTGAAGGAGTTTTGCCCTGAGAGAAGTCCCCAGGTGGTCAGATTTTCATAGGCGGGCAGATCCACGAGTTCTTTTTTCCCATGCTTCATGAAAGCCACTCCTTCACTGCCCCCAATATCGCTCGGCTCGAATGACGGCATTCCGCTGGGAGATTCTCAACATCAACAATGCAGGTCGTAGCAGCTAAGCATTTCTTGTGCAGCAACATCGCCCAACAGGTGTCACTTGTGTAAGAGAGCTTGTCAAGTTGATGCGATGTTGTATAAGGTGATTTACAACACAATACAACATCTAAAAATGGAGTGTGCTCCGACTTCACGACCGTAGAAGAAAAGGGACCCCCGGAAGATGAATCTCCTTCACCAAAGGTCACACAAAACATCGCAAAACTATCGTGCTAACCTAGCCTGCACCTGGAAAAAGAACATGTTCCAACCTTGTTTGTCAGTTGCTATATGTTTCACCTGGGCCGCAACAGAGCCTAACCCAGACCCCCCCAAATATGAAGCACTTGACCCGGCCAAGTCTGAGCCAACTTACTGAGTGAAGCACGGCCCACAAGTGCGGCGTTCCTTCTTGCAGTGGTTCCATGCCCTCTGCATTCAGCGCACTTAGTTTTCATCCCCCTTTCTGAACAGCATCCATTTAAAAAAATCATTTTTTGAAGTCGGATGATCAAAGAAGTTGGAACAATGGACCTTTAACCGGAATGATGTTTGGACACTTGGTGAGCGAGTCAACCGGCTCACTTGGATGTCCAGTTTCGCCTCACTTGGCCTTCGTTCTTGGTGTCGCCCGACGGTCTCTGGTCTCGGCAGGACATGTCGGTGCCAGAGGTGCCTTGAAGACTGTCGGGATGGGGGTGCTGTGTCTTTGAGGCCGTGGGCCGTAGTAGAGGGTAGCGAGGTAACTTTGGAAAGGCTTGGCACTACAATATACTATACTAGCGGGCATTGATCAAAAGTACCTGGGCATGGCGAGCGGGCACGGGGTTGAATGGGGAGTTCAGTCTGGAGTGGTTACTGTAATTATTTTCAACCAACACTGGAAAAGATCAGTCTTTCCAAAATGGAGTGATAAAGATCACCCTAGCGGTGATCCAGGTACTATCCCTGAAGCCATCGAAGTGGAAGTGCTGGATGAACATGGCCCCTTTGGATCACCCTGCCAACAGCTGGTTTTACTCATGCACTTCCGTGAGGGATTTGGAGTCCAACCATGCTCCGTGACCTCAAGTTACATCCAGCCTCTAGATCCATATAGCTTCAGTCAAGGGGTCGGCATGAGCCATCCGTGTCTTCGTGTGGCTCTGCCGCCCTGGTGCGCGCGCCGGACGGCCCGCGCCGGGACGGCCGGGCATGTCGCGGACGACGATGATCCCAGGTTCATCCGGTGGCTTTATTATGGTACACTCTGACTCAGTGACATGGAACAGGAAAATGGGACCCTGCAAGACTACTGTCCTCTACAAACAGGAGGTTTTCCACTTCCATGTTAGTGAGTCAAAGTGTAGCTTGGCTTGCCCCCACCAAAACCTTGAGGACTTTAGGATTTGAGCTGATGACGAGACGAGGTCTTTTTGTTAGGATGTCCCGACCGATGGAAAAAGCATTGTATCAGCGAGTTGCGTCGAAGAAAGAAATAAGAGATCGAAAGGGTTGACACGTCGCACGCAGATGTGCTCATTGTCATACTTTAGTCGATGTTTCTCCATGCTACCCAAGAGATTAAGAAGGTGCACTGGGAGTTGAAGTCTGAATCGATCTTGGACCTCTCTGGAATCATCTAGAATCTTAGCCTTTGGGCCCCAAGTTGACCAATGTGCCACGGGCATTAACAGCAACGGGCATCTCTTAGTATATAGGCCTCTCCAACGTGGTGCGGATGTAGGTATATAATTTATATAATGATGTTTGATGAGGCTGCAGCACACAATTGTGAGCATCGACAGTTTTGCTTCGTAGTTTGTGAAGTGACTGGATCTACTGGTACTTTAACAGGCGAATCCCTATGTCTATCATTTCGTGAGTAACCGGGCGCTCAAGAACAAAGGACTGGCTGCTGCGGAGAGTCGGCCCCACGTGGGAGGTGAACACATGTTCCGTGGAGAAACACTTCCGTTCGAAATCATCCCCAACACTGCGCCACTACGCCTGTCACGGAAAGGTCGTGTGCGTTGGGGGTTGGAGCTCCGTGACCTTGGTACCTTTGCTCAGGCGGAGGATCTTACCGAAGTCGCGATGGAGGTGCGACCATGGGGGCGACCCCCATTCTCCCTGTTCTCCCACTCAGCCCGCGGTTCGCCCACCACAGACGACTTCGCTTGTGCCCTCCGTTTGGGGGGTGATGTGCTGCCCGGCCTTTTTTGGACTAGTCACGTAGCCCCTGTGGAGCCTTTTGAAGGGGCTTGGGACTTCCTTTTTTTTCTTCCTCAAATGTGTTTATGGACTACCCCACACTACCTATAGGCTTCCATTGGGCACCCCTTAGAGGGTCCTGGTATATGATGGATATCTTATGGAAGATGCATAGAGCTCCGTCCTTCTTTCCATGCGAACAGGAAGCCGAGTCCCAATATTCAATAGTGGCTTGGATACTTGTTTTTTTACGTTTATTTATAATGTTTATATAAAAAGTGTGATGGTAATAAACACCGAAGAACACCTAAGCCTGGCCAGATTTGGGATGACCATGACCTGCTTCCACGTTCTTTTAATTATAGGTTTGATGTGTTTTGATATTGGTGCTGTAGCCAAAAAGATGTTGGGGCATTTTGGGTTAGCAGGCAAGTCTTAGTGTATATTAGGTGGATTGGTTCAAACACTATAGCCGGTGGGGGGTTCCCAGTAAACTGTGAAGACATCTAAGGATGAATCCAAGACAAAGCAAAAAGTAGATGTAGCAGAAGCGGGTCGCGTTTTGCAAGATGTCTATGTTTCCTTTCTAGCATTCCTCAGTGTGACCCACAACGACGCACTTCCATGTTTCCCGTTGACTCCTGAGATCCTGATTCCATGTTGAATGGCGGGAGCGTGCACATTGTGCACGTGTTCTGAATATTGAGACGCTTTTGGTTGGCGGGGTCCGACTATGGTTGTACACTACAACCAACCCCTCTGTACCCCAGATGTATGTCTGGAAGGGCTGGGGGGCGTGACTGACAGTCCGCCACAGCTGCCGCAATCCTCGAGGATGCTTGTCCCGCCACCGCACTCGAAGAGCAGTCAGCCAAGTCCTCAGCATTGGTTTCAACTCCTGCTCCCGGAAACATTCACATGGAAGTGGACGGGAACCACCCGAAAACCCTATAGTCTTTTAGGGATCCATAGGGGGCCCCATATTTCACTTCCATGGGTTTTCGGAAGTGCAGCTGGGGGGACCGTTCCCCCGGAAGGTGGGATCCGGCCAGTCGGATTGATGGGGGGAGAGAGCCGTCGTAATGAGTTCGTGATCCACTAATGGGTAGATGGTTCGTGAGTTCGTGAGTTCCTGGCATTTGCCTTTCCAACGAGGGCGGAGCGGTCCAATCTTCGGCATGTCACCGAGGTTGAAGGCAACCAATTTGTGGTCCCCGGCAATGACCAGAGCCATTCTGAGAGACTCAATTGCCCGATTTGGAGATGGGTCGCTCTGGTATGGTAGGATGGATGTTGTGGGAATATCGGGTCGCCTGGCTACCCCGGCAAGAGGGTTGCAAGACGCTAGGCTGCTAGGCCGTGTATGGCCAATTCCTCCCTCCGAGGCAGACGAAGAAATGCCTGAAGCTGCTGCAGAAGAAGCTCCAGAGGTTGAAGCCGCAGAGGTTGAGGGCATGGATTTAGGGCAGATTGATGATGATGCGCAAGAGTTTCTTGTGGTTGGGATGTGTGTATGTGTGCGTGCTAGAGCACCACTTAAGAAGAGGAGCGAAAGAGCACCAGTCACCCGTTTGTTCATCCAACCCACCACATGTTCCCAGCAGAACTGCCTTGCCCCAAACAATTCATAGACAGTTGCTCGAGGCAAGCGCATGCGAGTGCTGTAATGCGAGCGCTGTATTAAAAAGGAACACCTTGTCATAAACATATTTTATGAGGAATGTGGCAAATCTTCCAAACCAAGTCCACCTTTATATAGATAGATGTTCTATATTGTTTCTATATGTTCCTCCTTCGGAGGCGGAGGAAGATGAGCTGGAAGCCGCAGAAGAAGAGCCTGAGGAGAAAGCTGTAGAGGCTGAGGGTGTGGAGGTGGGGCTGGTGGCTACGCAAGTGTTTGAATTGAGGAGATCCCTGGTTTGTAGCTGGATGTTCGCCTGGAGCATAGCCAGAGATGGAAAGAGACCAGCAGTTTGTTTCTGCAGGTCCTTGGTTGTAGTACTCCCGAAGGCTGTCAGAAAGTTTTGCACCCCCAGGACCACCAGGGCACCACCTGACGTTTGAGAAGTTGCTTGATGTTTTGAGAAGTTACTTGATGTTTACTTTGTTTTCCTTTCTCCAGCCCAGGCGGATGAGGAACTGCCAGAAGCTGCAGAAGAAGTTCCGGCCGAGGAGCAAGCCGCAGAGGCTGTGGGCGTAGAGCTTGGGCAGACCGATGACAATGCGCCACAGTTTCTTGCGGTGGGATTGCATTGGTGGAGCCGAGCGCAGGACAAGAAACATCACCAGATTGTTCATCCAACCAGTCCAACCCACATATTCCGAAGCAGCACTGCTCAGTCCCAGACAATCCATAGACAGTTGTAGGAGGCAAGTGCATGTGAGTGCTGTATCAAAGAGAAGCTTCGCCGCGGCTTCGGCTTCACCACAAAATGGTGAATATATATATATATACATTTTCAGGAAATTTGGTAGATCTTCCAAACCAAGTCTACCTACCCAAGCGATACGAGGGCAGGCCGCTGATCTTGGCTATTTCACTGAGGTTGAAGGCAACCAATTTGTGGTCCCCGGCAATGACCAGAGCCATTCTGAGAGACTCAATTGCCCGATTTCGAGATAGGTCGCCCTGGTAGGATGGAAGTTGTGGGAATATCGGGTCACCTGGCTACCCTGGCAAGACCGCCAGCTGAGGGTTGCAAGACGCTAGGCCGCTAGGCCGTGTATGGCCAATTCCTCCCTCCAAGGCGGACGAGGAAATTCCTGAAGCTGCTGCAGAAGCTCCAGAGGTTGAGGAGCAAGCCGCAGAGGTTGAGGGCGTAGATTTAGGGCAGATTGATGATGATGCGCAAGAGTTTCTTGTGGTTGGGATGTGTGTATGTGTGCGTGCTGGAGCACCACTTAAGAAGAGGAGCGAAAGAGCACCAGTCACCCGTTTGTTCATCCAACCCACCACATGTTCCCAGCAGAACTGCCTCGCCCCAGACAATCCATAGACAGTTGCTCGAGGCAAGTGCATGCGAGTGCTGTAATGCGAGTGCTGTATTAAAAAGGAACACCTCGTCATAAACATACTTTATGAGGAGACGGAGATGTAGCAAATCTTCCAAACCAAGTCTGCCTTTAGATAGATTTTCTATATCTGTTCTATATTTTCCGCCTTTGGAGGCAGAGCCGGAAGCGGCAGAAGAAGAGCCTGAGGAGAAAGCTGTAGAGGCTGAGGGTGTGGAGGTGGGGCTGATGGCTACGCAAGTGTTTGAATTGAGGAGATCCCTGGTTTGTAGCTGGATGTTCGCCTGGAGCATAGCCAGGAGATGCTAAGAGACCAGCAGTTTGTTTCTGCGGGTCCTTGGCTGTAGTACTGCTGAAGGCTGTCAGAAAGTTTTGCAACCCCAGGACCACCAGGGCACCACCCGACGTTTGAGAAGTTGCTTGATGTTTTGAGAAGTTACTTGATGTTTACTTTGTTTTCCTTTCTCCTGCCCAGGCGGATGAGGAACTGCCAGAAGCTGCAGAAAAAGCTCCGGCTGAGGAGCAAGCCGCAGAGGCTGTGGGCATAGAGCTTGGGCAGACCGATGACAATGCGCCACAGTTTCTTGCGGTGGGATTGCATTGGTGGAGCCGAGCACAGGACAAGAAACATCACCAGATTGTTCATCCAACCAGTCCAACCCACATATTCCGAAGCAGCACTGCTCAGCCCCAGACAATCCATAGACAGTTGTTGGAGGCAAGTGCATGTGAGTGCTGTATTCGCTGAGGCTTCACCATATATATATATATATGCATACACATTTTATATTTCATATATATATATATCTTTCAGGAAATGTGGTAGATCTTCCAAACCAAGTCTACCTATTGTTTACGAGGGCAAGCCCTTGATGATGTTTCTTCACGTTTCTTTGGCGGAGACACAGGAGGATGAGCTCGAAGCAGCAGAAGAAGTACTTGAGGAGAAAGCTGCGGAGGCTGAGGGGCTGGTGGCTGCGCAAGAGCCTGAGTTGAGAAGATCCCTGGTTTGTAATTACCTGGTGTTTGCCGGAAGCATGGCCAAGAGATGCAAGGAGAAGACCACCAATTGCAGGGAGAGGACCAATAGGGCCTGGAGTCTCTTGCAAAAAACTAGTTACATAAAAGGGGGACACCTGGTATGGTATTCCTGAAGGTTGAGGGAATGTCCTTCAACCACTTAGGTTTCAGGCCCCTTTCTACCCCAGAACCAAGTGAAGCGGCACCACCCTGATGAGGGGGCACCCCAATCAGGGCACCCCAAAGCCCAACGTGTTGGGGGGCACCTGGGCGCTTTATGCCCGGAACTCACTCTGACCCTTTCAATGATGATGCGACAGTCGGTAGATTTAAGACGGTGAGGTTGAGTAGCTTGGCAGACGATGCATTTCTCGATGACGAGATGTTGTGACATCGGTGACGGTGTATATACTGTAGTGAAATCGACAACAGTTTTGTCACATTGCCGGCACTATTGTGAAGTTGATGAGACTGTTCCGCAATCGATGTGGTGAAATAATCAATGCCAACGGTTTCTTTTGAGGATCTGGGCTTAGAGATCACCTGCAGCAGAGAGAAGAAGACCAGCGAGACCCACATATATAATCCCACAGTCCTGTTCCTATACTAGACACTGTTGGCTTTCGGATTCTTTGGGTGCAGTGCCCCAACATACCCAGGCCCATACCTATATTCGAGGGCGGGTTATTTAATATACCTATACCCAAAAGAAACGAGGGTAGAGGCTGATTCCTCATTTTCTGCCGGCAGAGGCGCAGGAGGAAGAGCTCAAAGCAGCAGAAGAATCTCCAGAGCCTGAGGAGAAGACTGATGGTGTGGAGGTGGGGTGGGATGCCTGCGTAAGTGCCTGAATGAG